TTTTAAATAAAAGATATAAATGAATGGCTGCTTGAATTTTCCCAAATTTTATTGGAAAAATTTCAAAAATTCTATTAATATCAGTTTTATAATTTTTTATGAATTATTAAAGTTTATTAATTATTGTTGAAAAAGAAACAAAAGACAGCAATAATTATTTTAGATAAAATACTGCAAAAATTTTCCTAAGTTTTATTTTTAATTGTATTAAGATGATGGTTTTTAAAAATATATGATTATATTGAATTATCATTTTTTTTGAAATCAACTTTTGACCCCTCTTCAAGATGTCCATTTTTGCTTGCTATCTAAATTGTCCATTTGTGTAAAGGTCAACAAACGGTGAGCTGAATGGTCACTCTTTCCATTTAATCATTAAAATGAAAGAAGAGGTACACTTCTCATCGGTAATAACAATATTTCTTAGTAGATAGAAAGCATTTGTATTCTTAACTTTACGAGTAAGTTAAATGGAAATAATTGAAAATTATTGTCATAAAATGCATTTAATCATTGTAAAGTAATAAGTAAATAATGTTAATTTAAAACGTTTGATTTTAAAAATTTTATAGAATGACATTTGAGGAAGACAAAATACTATCACCTTAAAAAGAGAAAAACTTGACCAAAGAGACCAAAGAGAGTCAAGAGAAACTTGACCTTTTGTATTTGTCTAACATTTTTCAAAGATGAGATATTATTAAAATTGAACTTTCTTAAAATTTTAATCCATTAAAAATATCACAGAAAGCACAAATAAAAAAGAAAAACAAAGAATTGGGATGATTTAATTGAAATTTTTCGAAATGAAATAATTTTCAATTTTGATCCAATCTTGAAATTTACTATTAAATTATAAATTTAAATTTATTATGAAAGTATAAAGTAATTTCGATCATTATGAATGACACGAAAAGTTTGTTTTGAAAAAATATCCGAATTAAAAAAAAAGGTTTGGGAAAAATTGTCATTTATAACTGATAAGGCAATGTGATAATTTGAATATAGAATGAATTATTGTATTTAAGTTTTAGTGTCTTTTAAGTATATTTTAAAATTATATGAACAGAAAGCGGTAAGCAACTAATTGTTATGTTTCATTATAAAATTTGCTGTATTAAAATTCAGTATGTTTTAATATGAACAATATATTAATAAATCTAAATATATTCAAATTTTATTGAAATTTTTTGAATTGCAATTAACTGTTTCAAATTGCGTGACGAATTTTACATTTAAATTCATTATAAACAAATTAAATATATACATATTTATTAGGCATTTTAATTGTAAAAAAGAATGGAATTTTTTGGAAATAATGTTTTTTTGGAAAAATGGAATAAGAAATGGAATTTTGTTGGTTCATTTCGAGACATTTTCGAGATTAATCGTTTTTCTTGATGAAATTTTCAATAATTTCTGCAATTACTTTAAAAATGCAACAAATAAAATCAAATCAAATCACAATTCCAAACAATTTTTGTAATCCTTATAATTTTAATTTAATTTTTTTAAATACTTTTTGCTATTAACTCAAAATTAAAAATTTCTCCTGTAGATCGCTTCATCCATTTTACAATTTGTTTTTTTTTTTTAAATTAACTATGTAATTATTAATTATTTCACTGAGTGCATTACAGTATCAGACTTTTCGGGTGCTGATCCATTGATACATCGACGAAATATTACAAAAATTGTTGATTTGGGCATTCGTACGGAACGGAACGATGTGAAATTCCTGAATGAGCCACATTTTGTTGGTTCATTTCGAGACAGTGAAGTAAGTTTTGCAAAAAAAGAATTGACAAATTCTAACGAATTACACTTATTTTCATCTCATATTCACTTTTGAGCTTAACACATTATGTCACTTATCTGGCCAAGGAAAGCTTTCATAACTTCCATTCATCTCATCATCTCACGTGCCCTTTTACGCTTAACATTCCAAGTCATTTACTTTGTCACATCTTTTATAATTTCCTTTCTGTTGTTTCTTTTTTGGTGTGAAAATGGAAAAATTCATTTTCATTTCAGGTAATTCTCCAATGACTTTTACATATATTCTCAATTCATTTGCTTCAATTAGTAATTGAAATAAAAATTTTTTTTTTCAACTTTTCAAATGAAAAATGCTATAATTTTGGAAAAGTTTGAAAAATGAGCGAATAAAATTAACTGTTATTTCTATTTTAACAAAAGTAATTCGTTGTTCGCTTTAACCGAATTTACAAATGGATGAATGATATCAATGATCAGAAAGGATAATAACACTTTGGTTGTGTTAGGTAATAAAAGGATTCCTCTTGGAAAGAAAACCGGAGAACCGGTTTTCTTTTCTTATTTCACTTCTTTCATTCATCTTAAACGGGGAACGGATTGTTATCTATTTATGAAAATGAAGAAAAGAAAGATAAAGGAGCAAAGAAAAGAAAAAGAGAACGATTAATTCTTTTTTTTGGCTCAAAAAAATTTTTTTTCTTTCGTTTTATTTTTTTCGTTTTTAAAAAGCAAAAATTTTATAATTTTTTGTTGATTTGATTATAAAACAATTATTTTCAAAAAAGAAAATTCAAAAAATTTTTTTAAATAATTTTTTCTTTCCTTTTTCATTTATTTGTTTTCCTACTTTTTTTTTTTTGGAAGTTATAATAAATATCATTTGTTCATTCATAACAGTGCCCTGTTATAGCTAAAAAAAAATATGACAAAATAGAAGAAATTGTTATCAAAAGGAAATTTTGATTTTAATAATTAATACCTAATATTTGGAGTATTTTGGTGTAATTAGCAATAATGATAATAGCAATAGTAATAGCAATATTGTAATAATAATAATAACAATAATAATAGCAATAATAATAACAATAATAATAATAATAATAATAATAATAATAATAATAATAATAATAATAATAATAATAATAATAATAATAATAATAATAATAATAATAATAATAATAATAATAATAATAATAATAATATATAATAATAA